TTTTGGATGCTTCTACTCCTCATGGATTTAAAGAGGATTTGGTTTAAGAACAGCAACTCAATTGGGATGAATTCAGTTAAATCCAAAATGTTATCTGTAATTGCATGAAACTTCAGAATTTGGAGGTTGAGTAGATCGACTTCTAAACAAAAAAACAAGAAAAGATCACATGATAATTAGCAGATCAAAGAGCCGTGCTGCTGGGTTGGTTTCAGTGTCTCACTTACTCCCTTTTTTAATTGAAAGGCTGGTAGCCTTGTACTTCCTAATGCCAGATGCACATTTTCGATTCCAGTTTGTTTGCAAACAATTGGGCTATTTGCATAATTTGAGAGTTTGGTTGATTTGAAATCTATGTATCTGGTTATTGCAGGGCTTCTTGTAGTGATTTATGTCTGCTGAATCTTCCTAATGGCCTGTAATGGTGCAAACCAGCCTTTGCTATCAGGATCAGCAACTTCGACAAGTCAAAAGAGTAATGGGGATGCACCAAGGATAAGAAGACTTCGACGTGTTAGAAGTGCTCCTTTAGCAGAGTTTGGTCCTTGTGGCATCAAAGGCAATGCTTCACTCCCACATTCCGAGTCCATTTTCGGGAGTCTTCACCCAAGTTTTAAGAAGGTAGCCATATTCTTGACAGTATACTTAGGTGTAGGCACCATTTGCTTCTATACGGTTAGGAACCAAATCAGAGGGGAGAAAACAAATGGGATTCTTGATGCAGTTTATTTCTGTGTTGTTACAATGACAACTGTTGGATATGGAGACCTGGTTCCTAACAGCAACCTTACAAAACTACTAGCCTGTGCTTTCGTCTTCACAGGAATGGCTCTGATTGGGCTTGTACTGAGCAAAGCTGCAGATTACTTGGTAGAGAAGCAAGAAACATTGCTGGTTAAAGCCTTACATATGCATCAAAAAGTTGGTCAACTTGAGATTCTAAAGGAGATTGAAAACAACAGGATGAAATACAAGTTTTATATGGCCTTGAGCCTGCTCATTGTGCTTATATTAACCGGTACTATCTTCCTATCAAAAGTTGAGAATTTAGACCTAATTGATGCATTCTATTGCGTTTGTTCTACCATCACAACCTTAGGCTATGGAGATAAAAGCTTTTCAACCGAAGGGGGCCGTATTTTTGCTATATTTTGGATCTTAGCTGGTACTATTTGCTTGGCTCAGTTTTTCCTCTACATTGCCGAGCTAAATACAGAGAAGAGACAGAGAGCACTGGTAAAGTGGGTTCTTAGCCGAAGAATGACTAATGTGGATTTGGAGGCAGCTGATCTTGATGATGATGGTGTTGTTGGGTAAGAGATTTGCAGATTATGAGCTAAGATTCTGTGATGTGCAGTTCCATCATAATCTTCTTTTATTTACACAGGTGTTAGCGGCTTATTAACATCTTTCCCTTTTTCTTTGTTTCATTTCTACAGAGCTGCTGAGTTTGTTCTATTCAAACTTAAAGAGATGGGGAAGATTTGCCAAGAAGATATTTCACTTATCATGGAGGAATTCGAGGAACTTGATGTTGATCAGTCGGGAACCTTGTCTGCATCTGATATAAATCTAGCTCAATCAGTTGAAACTAGGAGGTCATAGAAACCATATACAGATAAAAAAAAAATGTTATCATTAGCCAGCATCTATAGCGGAACAAGGTGAATAATCTTAGAGCTATTCTCCAAATCTGTAATTCGAATGACAAATCGGATTTAAACAAGTTGTATTGAACTTCTTTTCACTCTGTCAATATACATATTTTTGCTGAGCTAGGAACTAAAAGAAACATCAACATTTTGAATTTTCCCTTGGATTCATAGAAGCATTAATCCTTCAGGATGGGCCAGAAACTTGTTCTAAGCCACTGCACACTGTGATTCCCCTGTTCTGGAAACTTGACTTAATAGTATTGTAATGGTTTCGTAGTTTAATAGTACCATAATTGTAAATAGTTAGATTACAATAAGCAAGAATGATTATTGACATTGAACTCTTTATCTGTTTACATAATAAGATGTGACTTTCATTTCAAGGTAAATATTGAGAAGCTTGTTATGTAAACAAGTTCTAAACTTAGATGGCAAGCCATTTCATGCTCAAATATCAAAGGCCAAATATCAAAAGCAGTTCTGTATGTCAATTTGTGGCATCAACTGCGAAGAAACGCAACAATTCCCAGCAATTGTGATGAAGAATCAACTTTGTTTTCTGTATTTTCAGGCCACAAAGATCCATTGAAATCTACGGGGAAAAAACTACAGTAAATCCTGAAAACAAACATGAAAAGAATCTGAATGTACTCTCATCAGCTTTTATTCTTGTAGCTAATATCTGCTGCTTAAAAACATAAGCTTGTAGATTTCAATCATATTTTGTAAAATTAAGATCAAACATGTCGACTTGGCATAGACTTATCAAGGCTCTCATGAACTATTGAAATACAGCATTTTTGGATTGGTATGCGAAACTTCCCCTAATCTGGCACTTAAGCAAAAAAATAGGCAAAGCTCTTTTCACTTCAAGCTGCAAAATCAAAGTCCTGCAACGGAAAAAGACATCAGCTTGGAATCTTCCAGGAACTTTCCAATGTGTTTGGAACCCAAATTCACTCTCCTTGTAAGCACTTTATATTGAATTTCCCACTTGCTTCCATCTAGTAAGTCTCCTCTCTCTCCCGCTTAAAACTTCCCAAGGCCTTCTTCTCAGCATTGTTTGTGAAGAACCCAAGCTTGGTACCAGATTTCTATTTTAACGCTTTGTCTGTTGAGCCATTTGCTGGTATTTAGTATACTTTCAATAGCTAGATTTCTTCTATTTTCTAGCTCTCTGAAGTTATTTACATGTCTACCACTAAGTATTATAACTATGAAATTCTATGTTGTGATGGTTGTAGCAGGTGGTCTAAATGCTGGGTCACTTCAACTCAATCATTGCAATGGCCTCCAATGCTGCAAAGAAGGCCAAGCTGCCAATGGCTGCAGGCTCTCCAACCTTAACAAATGATGAAAATGCTCCCGAGAAAACAAGCTCTCAGAGTTGCAAAACCACTCCCGCAGCTGCAAATTGCACCCCTCCGATCACTTTTCGGACAGATTGCCCGGACATTAAGAGGCTGGGGATCTACTTTGGTATCTACATGGGCGTCGGCACGATGAGCTTTTACGCACTCAAGAACCACATCAGAGGGCATAAAACGAACGATTTCATCGATTCTCTTTACCTGTGCGTGGTGACAATGACCACGGTCGGCTATGGCGACCTCGTTCCTCACAGTTTCCTCTCCCAACTGGTTTGCAGCATTTTCATAACCATAGGAATGTGCCTGGTCGGGATAGTAGTGAAAATAGCTGCAAGTTACTTGGTCGTGAAGCAGCAGATGGTGCTGGTTAACGCCCTGCAGCTGTCTAAAAAACTGGGTCCGACGGAAGCCATGAAGGAGATCGAGAACCTGAAAATAGACTACACCAAGTGCCTGATATCGTTGATTGCCATGGCGGTGCATTTCGTCTTAGGGATCTTCGTCCTGGTTACAGTCGAAGGAATGGATTTCACTGATGCAATCTACTGTGCTTGCAGCACCATGACAACCGTCGGGTTTGGAGATGAGAGCTTCTCCAGTGAGTTCGGACGCATGTTTGGTGTAGTTTGGATTTCCACAGGTACTTCCTGTTTAGGCCAGCTGTTTCTCTACATTGCAGAGGTGTATACAGATATCGAAACCAAGAAACTAGTCAAGTGGGTTCTTACTAGCAACACCATTGCCAAGAAAGACCTGGAAGCAGCTGATAATCCTGAAAACGACCAGGTTTATGGGTAAGATACTAAGATCTCCTTGCTCAAATGAAACCGGTTTTGCTGATATATAGCTTCCATAAATTACAAGAGAAATCTTGTATTCAGGATCGTGAATTGTACACAAATAAGCAAAGCATATACATAAGAGACAATCATCTAACAGTATCAGAATCCTTGGTTCTTTTGTTTTTTTACAGGGCTGCTGATTTCATTATATACAAACTAAAAGAGATGGGAAAGATCAAGCAAGAAGATATCTCAATTGCCATGAAGGGTATTGATAATGTGACCAAGGATCTTGATGTTGATCTTCAGTCGGATTCATCCCAAAAGAAGTGATGATTTCCATCAAAAAGAATATCAATTGTACTAGTGTCTTCAAAGAATTTAGATCTTCTCTTATCATAATATTCAACCTTTCCCCCAGGTTGAAATACTCCTCCTTTGGAAGCTATAACTAGCTAGGCCACCCCTGAGTATTTTGTAAAGAAGAACAGCACGCATGGTACCTATGTTTTGAAGGTTGAACGTACCTTAATTACATGTAATTTTGTTGGAATAATAATGGGTTTATCTCATAAAACTAGCAAACCTCTTTGATAAAATTCCCAAATTCTCCAAAAAAACAAAATCCCATAATGAAACACAAATTCCAAAAATTATTGAAATCCGAAATCTCAAAATATGATTATTTTCCGTAACTTTCATCTATTTTTTAATACGTTATATGTAATTTGTCAATAACTGTTATACATATTTAATAATACCAAAATGTTTAATTTTTTTCATAATTTTTATGTATTATTTAGTTATCTCGAAATTTCGATCATGTTACATCAAGATAAAGAAAATGAATGAATGATTGTTCAAATCAACAATAATTGTTAAAAGGGGTCCATTTAAACAGTGGTCCCAATACCTATTTGATCACAATGAATCCCTCTTGTAGAGTTTCCCAAGACCATCGTAAAATTCATAAAATTTGTTAAAGCTAAAAAAAAAAAAATTAAGTGGGTAATTGAACAATGAAATTTGTTTTATTTAATTCAAAAGGTCAATTAACTTACTATTTTTAGTCAACCTGAAACCCTCAAGCGGGTCTTCGAATTCAATTGGAATAATGAAATCCTCAGGTGGGTCTTCGAATTCAATTGGAAATTAGTTGCTCCAAAAATAAGCAAACATCAATTCCTTAATAATGGCCCTCCACCCGAGGCATGATTGATGTTAACATTTTACATTATATTATATCAACAAACCCTAAATATTAAAAACAATATTATAAAAAATCATAAATTCAACCTAAATACATCGTAATTTTAATTCTTTTCACGTGACATCTTGAGATTTTTTTTCTTCAATTAATACTTTTTCAAATAATTTCGATTTCTGTTAAAAATTATATCATTAATTTCTTTTAATAAAATTATTAAAATACCTTGAATTCAAGAATTAGCTTTTTTTTTCTTTATCATCTTGCATTTTAAATTAAAAATTAGATCCTAATTCAGTCCCTATCAAATCACAATCATGACTTAGGAATGAGGGAATTTCTCAATAAATCTTTCAATCATTCATTCTCATATTAGGAAAACGGAAAGTTAAAAAACAGTGAAAAAATAACACTAACTAGTAATTATTATTATTACTGTTCTTCCTCCCAAAATGTACAGTTCAGAGAGAACAGAAGGGGGAAAGGAAAAGAGAAGTTACAGCAAAAGAGAGAGAGAGAGAGTTAGAGATTACACTATGACAAAGAGAAAAGTTTCTACTCAGACTTGTAACTGTCAACGGTGAGTTCCGGTTGGCCAGCAACATAGTCAAGGAGGCCTTCACCGGGCTTGGCTGCCGGAGAGTCAGAGCCGGTGTGAGCAGAGGTCTTGCCGAAGAAGACGACAGCTACAAGGAAGAGGGCGGTGGAGAGGAAGAGCGGCCAGAAGTAGGTCAAAATGGTGAGGAAAGAAGGTGCCAGAATGACAAGGGAAGAAAGGGTGAGGGAAAGGGTGAGGGAAAAGATAATGGGGTACTTGAACTTGAGCAGCTTTTGTGGGATCTCCATGGTTTTTCAGAGAGACAGAGAGAGAAGAAGAAGAAGAAGAAGAGAAGGAAGAAAGGGTTGGTCCTTTGTTTTCCTTTAAAGGGAGAGAGGAGGAAGAAGAAGAAGAAGAAGAGAAGGAAGAAAGGGTTGGTCCTTTGTTTTCCTTTAAAGGGAGAGAGGAGGAAGAAGAGAAAGAGAAAGACAAAGAGATTCTCTACCGGAAGGAGGAAAGTGATGGGCTTTTTCTCTTAAATTGTAAAAGTGAAATGAAGTTAAGAATGTAATTTTTTATAAAAATAATATTATAGTTTTTTATTTTTTATAAATCAATAATTGATATTTTTTAAAATTTTTAATTTTTTTATTAATCTAGTTAAATATAACTTTAACTAATGTGTGTTTATGCTTTCTTTTACACCTTTTTAGTCTAAGGGTGGAAGGAATTTCCTTTATACACTTGACTCTTTTGTCTATATATTTTTGCATGTCAATGGTGTAGGAAGCATACATGGTTCATAACTTTCTAGAAAATTTATTTCAATTTTGACACAAAAATGTATAATCTAGGCTCTTGATTTCATCATTAAGTATCACCAATTGAGAGCAAGGCATGCCAAAATCGAAACTATACATTTTTTTTCGAACATTTGATTAATGGGTTTGTTTATTTATCTTCAAATATTTATATTTATTTGATTTTTATGAAAATTAAGGCAAAAAAAATTGAAGGAAAAACAAAAAGAAGTGAAACCATTTTAAAGGCTTCAAATTGATCACCAAAACTTACTAAAAAAAATTTGATATCTTGCCCTAAACCAAAGGCTTTCAAGTCTTTTGAAAGTGAATTAGTACTCAAAAATAAAGGAAAATAGAAAGAAAAAAGAGGTAAGTAGGTAGAATTCAAAAGTAGGGGGGGGTGCATGGGACATTTCAACGGTAAAAATTAATGTCAATGGCACACAGATCCTTTGTCCTTTCACTGAAATTGTCGGCTACTTTGTATTTTTTCAAAATGATACTGCATTTAGCTTTAACTAAAGTTTTTGTAAGCTTGTGACCAAGATAAGATCCAACAGCATATGGTTTGCAGTAACCCAAGGCCTGAATTTATTCCACTTTCAGAACAAAAATAAAATTAAAAAAAAAAAAAAAACCCATCTTTTACTAGATCTGGTTCTGACCAACATTTTAAAATTATGGGTTCTTTGATCCCCTGGATTGGGAGGTTTAGACTCACTAAACACAACAATTTTAATATAAATTCGTTTAATTCTATGTTGTTATCGTGTTATGTTAATGAATGGATAGTGTTTAAAATTGTTAACTCTGTTATTGTTTCCTGCAATATGGTAAAAGAAAACTTGAAATCAATTTTTTAAAATTAAGATATAGAACACGATAATTTTAATTCAAATTCATTTAACTGTCAAGTCTGTCATTATTTCTTGTAATGGTAAAAGAAAATTACAGATTTAAATCTTCAAATAAATTTCTCAAAATTAAGATACAAAATACGATAATTTAAATCAATATTCACTTAATTGTCAAATCCGTTATTATTTCCTACAATGATAAAAGAGAATTACAGACTTTAAAACTTAAAATTAACTTTTTAAAATTAAGATATGAAACACGATAATCTTAATTCAAAATGCAGGATTAACTCTTGAAAACCAACCTTTCCAAAATTTTCTTGTCAAGGTTTGAGAAATTTGAAGATAACTTCATCAACCACTCCCGAGGAATCCTATTAAGGGTATTGCTTGCAAAAGTTAAAAGAACCAAAACCAATGAAGTGACAGCCATTCATGGGAGGTTGGTTTATATGAGAAACTTGTCAAAAGGATTTGGGAGAAAAGTTAAAAGTAGATAAGGAACATGACATTATTTTGATCATGTTATCCTTTATTGACTGGCATTAGCAATGTGTCAAATATCAATTATTTCAGTCTGCATTCCTCACTTGGACCTAATGCACCAAAAAGATTATGAATTCTTCAAATGTAATCAAAGTAAAATTAATTTTGATTTTTATAAGAATGGAAAAAAAAAGAAGAAGGATTCATAGAATTTCCTATCTGCTGTAAATAGCATTAGATTAGGTGGCATTTATGCTGAAAATACTAATTGCTCGTTCGATATTAGTTATTTCACGTCAATAAATATAATCGAATAATTTTTTTAAATAAAATTAACTTTGATTATTTATAAAATTTCTACCCATTAAATACTAAAATCTAACCATAACATATAAACCCTTTTTTTTTCCTTATTTCTCTCTCTTTTCCTCACATCGACCTCAATTATTCTCTCTTTAAAACAAACCCTAACTCCACCATCATCGTTCTTCCTTTTTGTCTTCCTTCTTATTTAATTCTTTATTACTCAAATTCAAATTAAGATTTTTATCGAAACTTCCATGTCAACTAATTACGTAAGCAAGATAGCACATATAATTGCCAAATATAAATACGAACGAGACTATGAATCAAAAAATATGAAGGAAACTGACATATCATATACACAATGTGGATAAAATTAATTACGATTGACCACAAGTTCAAAAATATGAAGAAAACTAACATATAGTATATAATTCGAATAAATTAACTAAGATATTTATTTCTCAATGGCGTTAGACATTAATATAATTTTTTTAAAATTTGACTTTAATGTATCATATTATATATTTGTTTTTATGTATATTATTAACAATTCGGGTAAATTAAAGTACTAGCTTATGAGTTCCATTAGAAGTTATGAAATTTTTCTAAAATTTGATTGTAGTTAATTAAAAATTAAGTTACCTATAATTAATGGAATTACTTTATTATTAGAATTTGCAAACAGCAGGGACAGGTAGACAACCAATCCAAGCGAACACCCATGTCCTGAACTAACTGGTCTGTGTTTTGACGGTTCCTTCAGTTTGAAGTCTAGTGATCGAACCGCCACAATGGCGGCGCCTGTAAGAACAACCACAGGCGCTGTTGTCGTTGCGGTAGCTATCTCCGTTTCCATGGCTGTCTTCTCTTACTTCCTCTTCTCCAAAAAAACCAATTCGACCCTTCACTCCGACAAGAAGAAAAAGCAAAGAAGTGGGGTTGTTGATGCCATTGGTAACACCCCTTTGATTCGTATCAACTGCCTGTCTGAAGCCACTGGCTGTGAGGTTACTTTCATCTCTCTCTGTCTTTCTTCAGAAGATTCTATCTTTTTTGATTGATTTTGGTACATGAATAATATCTTTCCCTTCTGTTTGCAGTCTTCTTTTGTGCTTTAGTCTGATTTTGATCTTTGGGTGTCTTCAATCATGTCTCTTAAGTCATTTGTTTGAATTGGTCACCTTAATCTTCTCTGCTTTTGAGATAAATTTCTTCCCATCTTCATGCACATGTACTAGGAAAAAGGCTTACCTCTACAGTTTTAATTTATTCTTTAGTTTCTTTTTGGCTTTTCAGATTCTTGGCAAGTGTGAGTTTCTGAATCCTGGAGGAAGTGTGAAAGATAGAGTTGCTGTGAAAATCATTGAGGAGGTAATTTATAGAATTGAAACACAAAGAACCATTCAAGCTGTGATGCACTTGCCACTTGGTATCATGACTTTTCTTTCCATCATGTATGATAAGTCCTTGCTTCACATTAAAAGCTTGCATTTGAATCATAGCACTTTAAGCCATAGTGTGAGAATTGAATTCCCTGTGTCTTTATACCTTTTTAAAACTTTGGGGAGTTAATGTTTTTCACAATTGCATGATAGCTTATGCTTGATATTTGTCTAGAGTTTGTAAATGATTAGTCTTGGCAGTTCTGTTTGTTAACCAGTTTTTGTTTGCTTATACTTTCCGGATTCTGGCACAATATAGGCTCTGGAATCAGGTGAGCTAGCTCCAGGTGGAGTAGTCACTGAAGGAAGTGCTGGGAGTACTGCAATTAGCCTTGCCACAGTGGCTCCTGCCTATGGATGCAAATGTCATGTAGTCATCCCTGATGATGTTGCTATTGAGAAGGTATGCATAAAATGTGCTGGGACGAAGACCTTCCTTGGACAATTACATTTATGTGATTCTTGCAAGTACTGTTGAATTCTCATTTAGGATTGAAAGGATATATGCTAGGCTTTAGAAATGTATACTTACTCATACAGACACTTCTGTCTCTTCTGCATGTGGCATTTTCTTTTTCTTTACATTTTCGATGTATTGCAACATACTCTAATCGATTTTGTCACTTTCAAACATCTCTTTAGTCTCAAATACTTGAAGCACTGGGAGCTACTGTCGAAAGGGTAAGACCAGTATCGATTACACACAAAGACCATTATGTTAATGTTGCTAGGAGGAGGGCGCTAGAAGCAAATGAATTAGCAGCACAGAATAAAAAGGCCAGCCAAGTGGATGGCAAAGACCAGGATCAAATAAATGGTTGCAGACCTGACCAGGAGAAAGAAAATCCAGGTTTCTTGAGTCATTGTAATGGTGGATTCTTTGCTGATCAATTTGAAAACTTGGCGAACTTCAGGGCCCACTATGAGGGTACAGGGCCAGAGATTTGGGAGCAGACTGGTGGCAGTCTAGATGCATTTGTTGCAGCTGCAGGCACTGGTGGCACTGTGGCTGGAGTTTCGAAGTTTCTCCAGGTAGAAATTTATAACCTCTTTTCAACCATTTTGTACATATTTATATGAGGGGACTAACTTAACTATTAAATGTTTGGACAGGAGAAGAATCAGAACATCAAGTGCTTCTTGATAGATCCTCCTGGTTCTGGTTTGTTCAATAAGGTAACAAGGGGAGTCATGTACACTAAAGAGGAAGCTGAAGGACGAAGGCTTAAGAATCCATTTGACACCATAACAGAAGGGATTGGAATCAACAGATTGACTCAAAATTTTATGATGGCAAAGCTCGATGGGGCTTTCCGAGGCACAGATAAGGAGGCTGTTGAAATGTCAAGGTCAGTCTATCATCTTTTATATGTGTTCTCTTTGGCATTTTTGTTTCCCACATCATTGAAAGGATGAAAACATACAAACTTTGGGGATCGAAATTGTGCCTGGATGATGTTGTCTTGTCAAATGTTGAATCTGACATTATCTCCTTAGACTCTGCCTATTCTTTTGTGGTTAGAATGTTTGCTTGGCTTTGGGCTTCTAATCTTATACCTGCTTGACATTTCAGGTTCCTTTTGAGGAATGACGGGCTCTTTCTTGGGAGTTCTTCAGCCATGAACTGTGTTGGAGCTGTTAGAGTGGCAAAGGCTCTCGGCCCTGGCCACACCATTGTAACCATTCTATGTGACAGTGGGATGAGGCATCTAAGCAAATTTTATGATGCCAAGTATCTGTCACAGTATGGATTGACACCTACTGCAACTGGATTAGAGTTCATGAGCATCAAATGAACCCTGCTCAGATGTTGGCTTAGGTTCTTTCAAGCTTTCCCTGTCAGTTCAGGAGGCATATCTAGGCCATGCTTGTTGATGAAAGTTTCAGAAGTCACTCAGCCAAAGTAACCTTCATTTTTTGGAAATGACCTTGTGTAAGGATTGAAGCTTAGGGATTTTAGTTTTAACACTTAGTGCTTAGGTTGATAACCATTCTTTATCCCCAAAGAGGAATTCATTAGTTCCATGGAAACTGCTTTGACAAACAATTTTGAAACCCTTAACTTATAATGAATAGTTACACCTATACAAGTGCTGTTTTGTTACTTTTGCGCTTCAGTTATGCTGTTAGAACTGTTAAATTTGGAGTGCCAAAGACTGTTTTTACACAACTTTTGTTGATGACGCTAAACTTATAATCCCTTATTACTGGCTACACACATTTATCATGTTCTCAAGTACAATTATCTTCCTCAAACTTTCTTCAAGAATGGGAAGACCATGTTAGGCACATCTTCAATTTCATCTGAAACTATGTTTAACAAATGTGAGGAACTAACCCCTCTTCTCCCTCACCACCCGAATTCATAGTTAATGAAGAACACAAAAGTAAAATGAGAGTGAATGCGAGAATTCCTTGTTATAGTGATCCTGATAAGGTCCATCAAATACCAAGATGTATGTTGGCACAAGATAGACCAGAAAATTGGAGTAAAAGAACTTAAAATTGACTTCAATATCTTCTGCTTTAGTACTGAAACCAAATGGCCGGCTTGATGGATTATTGTCAAAATACATAACCTCGATAACTCCCTTGCCTCCAACAATACAAAGACTTACAATAATTGGTGCCAACAAGTCAAACTTCGCACTTGATAAATATCGTAATCTAAGGAAAACTCCACTCACTGGGGGTACCACTTATCAAACTGTGCCTCATTACAATGTGGGTCTAGCCAATCCCTGGGAGAACCCTTGGACATGTTGGAGCTTGCCTTCCCAGCACCTACAAGCTCTCTCAAATTTTCCACCTTATTTTCCCGCCCTGTCCCACTGATCCTTCTATCAGCTTCTTTCAGTTTCTGTTTAAATCGTTGCCTTCGACTGGACTGATTCAGCTCTTGCTGCCTTGATTGTGAAGGAGGAGCACCGTGTGGTCCCAAGTAGATGTTCTCTTCTATTTTAGTCTGCACAAGCCAAAAGATGAACATTGTCTACATCTTAGTGTATATCTGTAAACAAGATAGGACAAAAGCTCCAAACAAATCAGTCTTGACATCTACAGATATACATATGTAATTGACCTGTGAAGGAGGTTTTGATGATTCTACTTCTGAAGCATCAGCTTTATTTTTATCCGATTCTTCAATTCCCAAGCTTGGAATCACAAATCCATCAGTGTCTAAAGAAAAACATCATGAAGCAAGACATTAACATAAGGATAGTCAGCTTCATCTCAATCAATTTCAATGAGAAAATCATTTCTAAACAGAAGGACTTATAATTAAACAATATTTTAGCACACTAACAGAGATGATTCTATAAGATTTCAACAAAGAAAAATTCACTCAATTCATTGGGGACTGAAAGGAGTATATAACTCCTTCCCTCTCTACTGACAAGGACCAGCAATACAGCGACAACATGAGAGAAATCAATCACTGACAAGGAGGTTTAGACAGCCCCTCGCTAACTCTAGGAGCCACCCCTTTAAAAGAGGCCACTTAGCACAGCCATCTTTTATAATGTTACAAGACATAGTGGTATTTCATTCATTGTCAAAAGGGAAATCACTAAAGTGTTTCATTCCATTATAGATATACAAAATTTGACCTGCCACAAAATGAAGGAATTAATCACTTAACGGTGATGGAATTGTGTCAACTTCATTGTGCACCAAAAGAAGGAATGGTGCCATGGGAATATCAAAGCAACAAAATAGTTGAAGCCACATAAAATCAGCAGCATATACAGATACAAGATGAAGGAACTGGACTAAACGAACTTCAAGCAATTACAAATTAGAAAGTGAGGGGGGAAAACATAATTGCATTTGTGTTTACCATCACCTTGTTCTAAACCAGCTAATTCAAGACACCAAAAGCAATAAAAACTAACTAAGGAACTAATGTTTAGAACTGAAAACTTTAAGATAATGCATACAAGTTATATCTACAAAAGCAAAATCAGGAAAGGGAAGTGGTAGAAATGTAACTTGACAAAAAGGCAGAAAGAATCTCAACTAGATTGATGCAAGGTAAACTGTTATATTAACAAGCTTTCTTGTCAGTTTCTCAGTTTATCCAAGAGGTACCAGTTATCAATTCTCTAACTTCTGAGCCTCATACTCATATCCTACACAAAGTAAAACTTCATGGAACTCCAATTCTAGTTTATTGTAACCTTCAAATGCCTCTTAATTAGCAAAACAAATAGCCTTCTGCATAAGATCATCACTTCTATGCAAAGGCAACCAGAAATCCACTAAAGCAATAAAGAACAATACAAGTTGCTTCTATAGGATGCTAATGAAGGTTTAAAATGCATAATCCTCAACTCAATGTGGCTCAATCAATAAACAGATCACCATCCCCCAATCAAAATATGAACTCAACCAGTTAAACTTTACCAGACTAAACAGAACAGCATGCCCACCAATCAAAAACAAAACCAACACACAAAGAGAGCTAATATAGATAATAACAAATACCAAATATAGCCCCAAGTCATAGTTAATCATGCTCACAAAGGAATTCTCCAATGACAACAAACTCAAACACCCAATTCTCTCACATATATCACTACAATCTAAAAAAGCCATATCTACAAATTAAAATCAGATAAAAACCCACTTATAAAATTAGATTTTTAGCACAAAGATCCAAAATTCTCCACATTTATCAGAAATTTCCCAGGAAACAAACAAACAAGTCACAAGGGGGTGGGGGGAGAGAGAGAGAGAGACAGAGAGTGAATATACCCCACTCATCTTCTTGTTCATGGAGTGAAGGAGTGGTGTGCACTGGAGATGGGTCCATGGGGTGCTGAAGATCATGGATTTCAATGGCCAAAGGGCAGCAAAGCCCAAAGAGAGAAAAGAGAGATCAACAATAAATCAGCAGCACAAATCCCAAGACCAAAACGTAAAGGAGAAAGCTTTGGAATATATCGAAGCCAAAGAAGAATCTGCAAATATGGGAACTTTATTCCCTTCTTTTTTTATATATTTTTGTTGTATTTTTTATGGATTTTGTGGAAAGTTATACACAGAAATTAAAAACCCTAACCCTAGAAAAGGTTTGGGCTTTTGGTAGCGTTAGATTTGCCTCCTTTTCCTTTTCTGTATTTCTTGTGTATGCTCAACAAATTCTCCATACTACCCTCAAAAAAATTAATTTTTTTTATTTATAATTGAAATTTTTTTTTAACTTTTCATAATTTTAAAATTTTTTTAGTAAAATATGGTTTTTTATACACTATGTAAGATAATAATTTAAAATCTAAATAAAAAATTTTTGAAACATACAACTCGATTGATATTATTTTGTTAAATTTTATTTGAGCAATGAAAGAGAATAAGATCATATTTTCTAATGTCAATATCATAATACAAAATTAATACATACATCTATCATTAAATACAAATCATAATTTGAAACTTAATCTGTTGCTTTCATTTTTCGATAAAGCAATCTAGTGTAGAACTAGTGTCATGATTTATCATTAACTTCTGAAATAATATCTATTTTAATTGATTTTATTTAAATCTTATAAATTAAAAATGATATAAACATTTAAATTCGCAATTGTATTCCGGTAAACAACTAATGTGAGATTGACAAAGAATGTAATTCTAGGTTTTTGGTTGTTCTACATTGAGCAAAGCTAACTCCCCTTGGAAGATTTGAGGTTAAAAAAAATACAAACAACCAGATTATGGTCATGGGCAAAACCTCATGGACAATCCCTTCCTACCCATTTTTTGTTTTCTAGGAAAAGGAAAAGACAGTGACAAACGTACAATGGCAATATCTTAGTTTCATCTTTGACTGCCAACACAAGAACCCATGCTATTTTGACCTAGTTTAGGACACTTTGACTGCCCTTACTCTTATAATCCAAGTATTCCCATTTTTAATATATTTTTTTTGGGGTATTGCAGGTCTGTATAACCTGAAAGTCTGTAGTGTTGATTAAGAAAGAAGGGAAGAAAAACAAAAACATTGTTTCTTTCACTTCTGTTGACGTCTGTTTGCCATTGTGAGTAGAACTTGTTCAAAACCCAATCATTCACATGACAGGTCACATGTACCTCAATTAACTAATGAGCTGGTTAATATGGAAATAGCACTTAATGGGGCAGGTGAGGTTTTCAATGTTTTTGAGTACCATGATTAAAAAGCTGATGTGAAATTATTGGAGATATTCACAAGTAAATTTGAGATTAACAGGTTGAATCAACTTTTTAACGTATATGAGTAAGTCTAGGAACAGAGAAGATTCCCTCTTATTAGTACTCCAAAAATTTGATTTGCATTATATGCTCAAGTAGATATCTTCGTTATCTTTAGTAGGTAGAATTGATTTGGATTTAGTTGAGGTTTTAATCATGGGGGGTGGAAAGGAATCAAATTAAGTTTCTGTCCACATGCATTTAATGTTCTATGCACCTGGTCTTCCTTGCTAATGCTGCGAGCTGTGTGGTGTCTGTGAGCAGCAGAAGAGAGGAATGGGGATGGGATACCTAGCATTACCAGCCAAAAGGATCTCTTCAAAATGCAATGGGCTTCCATTAAGGCTTTGGAGGGCATGCAGCAGTGGTAGCAGCAGCAGAAAATGGACTAACATCATTGCATCTTGATGGGTTTTATTGCAGACAAAAGAAAATGGGTGAAAAAATGTGTCATGATTACTGATTACTGTTGGTTTTGATCATTGACTACCTGACAAAATTTCAGGGTTTTTGTTTTTTTTTTAAAAAAGACCTGTAGAAATTTTCTCTAAGCTGGATTGTTTTGGTACCATTTGGGCTCACTATTCAGAAGATGTGGATATTTTGCACTGTTCTTTCTCTCCTGTGGGTATTTGATCTGATCTTTTTTGCTGGCAAAGGATAGACAGTGAGAAAGTGAAAAGGAGCCTTTCCCCTCCAAAATCAAAACGAACAGAAGACTGACAGAGAAAGAGTACCATTCTCCCACATAGTGTAGTATTTTTGTTTTTTCTTTGAATTTTTCATGTTAATGGGATTTTCTCAGTTTTTATGAATTTTATACTGCCATGTGATGAACACTGGTGTTGCACATGCACTTGGCAATTCCAACGCTTTTTGAGGTTACTTCAAAAAAAACGAAAACCACAGTTTTGCTTTTCTGAAGAGAATCAGGTTTCGGATAAGAACAAAAGCAGTTTGGTTTTATAAATTACACAAGGCTCAGGTGTTAAGTGTAGGAGTGAGAGAGGATACTGGCTTCAGTGTAAAGCCAAAGAAACCAAGTTCTATCCCTGCTACAGATCAGGTAACAAGCAACTGCTAGCATTCATCTGCTGATCTCTTTTCTAATCATAAGACTGAATGCTCTCAACTTCTTTCCAATTCAAGTTCTCTTATATTTTTATGAGAAAAGATAGCACTGCTAAAGATAATGAAAGAGCCCAAACCTCAACTGATACCTTAGCTTTTTCTCTATCAGGATAAATTCTGATTATCCTAATCTGATATACTTTATTCTCCAGCCTACCCTTTGTTTGTCTTGTGGCCTAACTCAGTGATCTGTCTGTTCACATCCTTTTTCTGCAAATCTTTGATGTTGAACATGCTAGAAACCAAGCTCTTCAAATCTGTTCTCCCTTTCTGTAAATTTTGTGTTGCACTCCTTGTTCCTTCTATAGTTTTGACTAGTTTCATTGGTTTGGGGTTCTGTTCTATCCTTTTTACAATCACAATCTTGGTTTCATCGACAATTTTCTTGGTCACACTCACAAACAAGAAGAGAAGTGTGGTGGTTTTGGAAGAGAACCCAGTTTCCAAAGACCTGTCTGAGGGTGAAGCTGAAGAGAAAGTGTTGCAGCCAGTGATAGAAAGTGTTCCTCCAGAATCTAATGCTGCTGCCCAAGAAGCTGGTATTGGCATCGTGCATGATGATTTTCAAGTCAAATCACTAGGATCGACTTCAGACAGTGAAAGCAGTGATGATTCAGGGTCAAGTTCAAATCTTGATCTAAACTGGATGATCCCAGGTAATAATGCAGAACAAAATCCTGAAATCTCAGATGATTCAGTCTCAGCAGATGAAGAAGAAGAAGAAGGGCTCATTGAAATTGCCATTCCAGGCAATGCTGAATCAGAACCAAAAGTGGTACCACCACCAAATCTGCAGTCCAACCTGCCACCTTTCTTGCCAGAATCCATTTTCAAGCAGCAGCAAGACCTTGTTGATTTCTCGGCAGAAATCAATGAGGTAAATGAGGAAGAAAATCTAATTGAAATTGACATTTCCATTGGCTCCATCAAATGCCCAAGGTTTGAAATTGAAGCTTAAATTTTGATCTCAACAGTTTGATGTTTAAATCTAGAATTAATTTAGCTTTTAGGCTTTTTATTTGTTATATTTCATTATCATGAACTTCCCTACCTTCTTTTTTGGCTATAAACTTGGCTTTTTATCATGAACCTTAGCCTCCTTTTTAGAGCATGTGTACTCTTTTTGACAAACACTATAACACCAAAAGTATGAACCAATTTGACTTATATTGCATTGGCATAATTGCTGTTGGTTCTCTTTTTCTCATGGAATGGAATCCATTTGGGCAATTTTCAAGTTCTTTTTCCTTTCTTGTATGTGAAGTGAAAGAGACATTTTTTCTTTTCCTCTAATTTCTTTGTGGTCCATTTGGCACAAAATAAGCCCCAAAGTGCTCTTTAATATACTTAAAAAGGAATCAATTTATTATGATGGTGGAAGAATGGCATATTTGATTTTATAATTGGTCATGTAAAAAAAATATTTAAAGCCATTTTAAAATTTGGGTTTTCTTCGTCATCGTTTATATTTTATCGTGACGTCTAGATTAAGTTATTCTACTTAATCTCGACCTTTTTAGAAGTATATATGTGTTATTTTAATGTTGGGTCTTTAAAGAAAAAAGTTTACTAATTTCTCTTGAAATTGATTTCACAATAATAATTGCATTGAGTGATTTTCGTATTTAAAACCTTAATCGATTTCAAAAACCCTAAAAAAATTCCCCAAAAAAATTTAATCAACTTGGGCTAAAATCCCATTTGATCTTAAATTTACATGATTTGAGGCCCCAACATCTTAAGGATGAAAAGCCTTTTAAGGCCCGACCGTTTTATTTCTTCGTAATCAACTCGGCCAACCAAGGCATTGCCCGAGTAGTTCTGCAATTAATTTAATTAAATATTTCTATACTTTTTTTAATGCAATTAATTTAATTATTTGAAGTGTCACCAAAGGATATTAATTGCAAATCATTCTATAATATATGCTTTAATTAATATGCAAGACCGTCTATGTAGCACGTGGTTTGCTTAAAAAAGTTAGATCTTAATCTTATATAAAATATAAATTAATCACCTTAGACATTTGTCACGAATTAAACGCTTTTATTTATATAAATCCTAAATCGAGTATACAAATTTTATCTCTAATTCAAATAGTAAAAATTTGGAACTTTTATCAGCTTTAACAATAATCTTTATTGAAATAAAAATCGATAGTGTAACTAATTTATATGTAAATTCTTTTTTTTAAAGTAATGGGTCAATTTTATTTTTTTTTCATTCGTGCATTTAATTACGGTATAAAACATATGCATTTAATCGTTTTCAAGCATCAATATGATGTATATGGAAATCAATTTAATAATTATTTATGATTAATATTAATATTTGAAATCTATGGATCCAAATCCATTGAATTCGATTAATTTAAATTAATAATTTTATTTACAATATTCTCCTATTTACTTAATAAAAAAAGGAAAAATTTGAGTTAAAACAAGAAAAAAATATTAAAATCAGCCCGCAATTTTCTTCACAACATTGGCCCCACCCACAACCCGCAAAAAGTGGGCCCCTCAACTTCCAAGATACCTCGAAACGAAAATCTCTGCCGTTGGATTTACATCCAGAAGAACTAAACAAGATCGGAGCCGTCCCATGGCTTCCCATCTCGAATTTCACCCCACTTTTCTGACAGTTCCCCCCGTCCGACGTGGCAGTTCACTTAACTGCATTTAAAATCCGGGTTTCAAGTCCGGGACTTTGAAAAAATTGAAGCTGATTTGTTTTCCCCCAAAATTGAAAATAAAATTAAAAATCCAAACTTTGAAGACTCTCTGCTCTGTCAAGCTTTCGGAATCGTGGTAAACAGCTCGTAAATCACTGTAAGTTTTCTCTTTTCTTCGATTTCGAAGCTTATATTTGGTAATTAGTTCTTAATTTTGTATGTTTTGGGGATTTCTGTGGGTTTTTTTTTTGGTGTTTTACGCTTGGTTTGCTAAAAAGTTACGGTTTTGGATGTCAATGTTTTGAAATTTTTGAATTTTTTGGGGCTTTTTTAAGTGGGTGTTTTTTTTGTGGGAATTTGACTTGTGGCGGAAAAAATGTGGGAAATGAAGAGGAATTTTCAATTTTTTGGATTTGGGAATTTGTTTTTTTCTGGTTCAAAATGGAATATTACATGAAATTAAGCTTAATAGACTCTGTTTCTAGCCATGTTAGACTAGGATTTATGATTTGTGTTGGTACAAAAGCAAAAACACGAAGTTGTCCTTTCTCTTTTAATCTTAGTAACAGGGGATTTTTATGAGTCAAGTTTTGGTTTTTCTATGTTTTTGAACATGTTCAAGCTCATGTGGATCTCCAATAATGCATGTTTTTTTTACTTAAATTTTAGTCTGGGAAAGTTTTTATTTTTATTTTTATGGTAGATTGGTTGAATTCTGTTTGCTTCTCTGTTGCTCAATTCAATGTAAAAGATTTTTTTTTTTACCTTAAGTTGAATGTTCCTTGTGGTTTATGTTTTTCTCACATGGAGAGTGCAACTGTTTTTCTTGGTTACAGTTGTTTGCTCATTGTATACTATGCCAAGCTTAGGAGAATTTTATTGCGCATGGAAAAGTAATTTCTTTTGTCATGTGAAATGATTTCAGCAGAAAATTCTCTTTACAAATTTATGATGGCTGCAAATATTGGAGATGTTTAATGAGCCAATTGTTTGCTAATGTATTAAGTATTATTCAAATTTTCATTGGAAAATTTCAATTTTTGTGTTTCGAGTCGGGGGTGTGGTGTTTGTTGGTGAGTGGTAGTGCCTGTTTAATGCTTCTTTTGTCTTGAGTGCAATTAATTTTTTTTAATTGTTGTTATAAATTTTTTATTTGGTTTCTGCAGCCTTTTGTTAATCCTACAATTTTGGAAGGCAAGGGAAAGAAGTGGTTCCATACAAAGCATTTACTTTGAATTGGATTGGGTATGGGTGAAGAAGAAACAAAGGCTGAAGTCCTTGAGCCAGTGGCTAATGGGACTTCTCTGCCGGAAAAATCTGGTGAAGCTGTAGCTGAGAAAACAGAGGAAGAAAATAATGGGGTAAAGGAAATGGAAGAAGATAAGAAAGTTGAGACTGAGAAGATGGATGAAGACCAACAAGTCAAGGAAGATGAGGAAAGCAAAGAAGAATTGGAAAAAGAAGAAAAGGAGGAACCCAAAATGGAAGTAATGGAAGAAGAAACTGATCCAAAAGAAAATGACAAGAAAGATGAAAAGGAGGAAAACAAAGATGAGGTGCAGCAGAAAGATGGGTTGAAAGAAGAAGAGGAAGAAGAACAGAAGGCTAAAGAGAGCAAGGAGAAAAAAGGTTCAAAGAAGCGTGGGAAAAATCAAAATGCTGGGGAGAAAGTGAAAGGGAAGGCAAAAAAGATGGAGAAGAAGGAGCCAGAGCAAAGAACTCCTCTTACAGATCGCCCTGTGCGGGAGCGTAAATCTGTTGAACGGCTAGTTGCGTCTATTGACAAAGATGCTTCTAAGGAATTCCAAATTGAAAAGGTTTTTTTTTTCCTTTCTTTCTTTGCTATCCGTTTTTTAATGATTAAGAATTCTGTTATGTTTAGATTCTGTATTTTGAAAGTCCATGGAAATAATAGGTTGCTTTGGCAATTGCAGGGCCGTGGTACTCCGCTCAAAGACATTCCTAATGGTGTGTTCTTTATTTCTTATATTACTTCAATTATTTGTTTGATGTCCTGTATCCTTTATGCAGACAATATCCTACGGTTTGTTTGATGTTATAGTTGTAAATCTTAAAAGCTCATTTCTTCTATCATTGTTCATTACTGAATTCATTCTCTTTGCATTGTCATCAAAACATGGTATATCCAAATGAACCTCAGGATGCTGTTTCTTTAGTTTGATTGTGTTCTTCCCTTAATTTCTGCCAAGTTCCTTGAATGTACATTGGAACTCCTTTTCTGTTACAACTAACTATGTTCTAGGCATTTGATATTACTCCAGTTCAATGAGTTGAGTAAAATGACATCTGCAATGGTATCTTCTGCAGTGGCCTTCAAGTTGTCTAGACGGAAATCTGATGACACTTTCAGACTGCTTCATACCATTCTCTTTGGAAGGAGAGGGAAGGTAATTTGATTGCTGTCAAATATTTTTGTTTGTTTCTATCCAGCATTTTTCATTTCTCTTTTTATTCTCTTAATATGATGATAAGGGTGTATCAAGCATACAATCATGCATAAACAGAGTCTCTAATGGTACATGTGTGCATGAGATTTGGCATGTGTGTTTGCAAAGAAACTATGATAGGACGGTTTTGGGCTGCTGCAGATGTACGTTGCTGATTTTGCTTTCAGTTTATGAGACTTACATTCTTGCTCTTGCAGGCAGTTCAGATTAAGAGTAATATATCCCGATTTTCTGGTTTTGTGTGGCATGAAAATGAGGTAAGAGGTTGTTAAATTAAGAAGCAGAGTTTTCATGATATATAATTGATTTCTCTGTAGGAATTGCACTTCTGGGCTTTAACCTTTTAGGATGTTTGTAGTTTAAGTGGGCTGTATGGTTAACTTGTAATTAGTTGATATTAGTGCATTATAGATTTTTTCTTTGCTTATCTCACTCAAATGTTGTGATAATTGCAGGAAAAACAAAAAACTAAAGTAAAAGATAAGTTTGACAAGTGTAATAAAGAGAAGTTGCTGGAGTTCTGTGATGTGCTTGACATACCAATAATGAAGGCTACCACGAGGAAGGTTTGTTGAATTACTACTGTAATTTGTGCTTTAATTCTGCCTATATCTCAACGAAATGGTAGACATGCCATCGGTTTGATTTGTGAATGTATTCTTTGTGGTTAGTTTTTCAACATTCATGCAAATTGATCAATAAAAGCCGTGTGTGTGTATGCACACTAATATAGGCTTGTCATGAGGTTCTGTTCTCATCTAGTTTGCAGTAAAAAGTGGGTGGGCAAGCATTTTTGTATATAAAATTACAAATCTATGTTAATCTTCTTCCCTTTTTTTTTTTGTTTTCCTTTTCTAGAGAGTAAACTTTTTGTTGTTTCGGTTGAGGAAACCCTCATTACGTCATTAGTTTTAAAAGGTTGGAAAGTGCTGAGACTTATTTGATCAATTTGCCCATCTAGGAATGCAACAGTTATAACGAATTATATCCTTTTACTAGGACTATGGTTCAGTAGAAGGGTAGGGGTGACTTTGGAGTTTTCAGAAACTCTGATTAAGGTGATGCAATCAGTTTAAAAATTAGTATCACCACCCAAGTCTGGTGTTATTTATATGAGGGCTTGTTAATACTACTTTCACAAGCCTTATTGTAATAATAATTTTGCTAGTAAAGAAGTTGAATATCTCTAATGGTTGTTAATATGCTTAAAATGGACATGCAGGAAGATATCGTTGCAAAGCTGATAGACTTTTTGGTGGCCCCTCATGCTACGACTACTGTTCTACTTTCTGAAAAAGAAAAGGTTTCTTAACCTTAACTGCAGCTTTTGCCAAGTTTCCATTTTTACATGCTTTTTTTCTAACCTATATTTTCTATTTATTATCCAGTCAAGTAAGAGTAAAAAGCGCAAAAGGGTTATCAAGTCTGGGACCACATCAAAGCGATCAACAAAGGTATTAGTTTCTCTGTTTTTGCATCAGATATATGATATTTGATTAACCATTGCAGCTTTTCATTACACCTGTGGTTACCATGTTTATAGAAGCTTACTATTTTAGTATCTTTTTCTGCTAGGGGTCATTATATAGTTTTACCTTCTTTTACATTTGTTTTTTTGTAGTTAATTTCTTTTGTTTTATTCCTCTGTTTGATGTATTATGCAGAGTCGAAAAAAGAGTGAGGATACTCCAAAATCAGGGAAAAAGAGTGCACCTGATTCGGAGGATGAGTCTGAAGAAGAAGAAAAGGAAGAGGAAGAGAATGAAGAAGAGGAAAATGAAAATGGCATAACAGAAAAATCTGAGGATGAGATGCCTGAAGATTCTGAAAGTGAGGAGAAAATTGAATCTGAAGATGAATCTGAAGAAGAAGTGGGGAAGAAGAAAAAGAGTACAAGGGTATCATCCAGCAAGAAGGAATCTGCTGGAAGAGCTAAACCCAAGAAAGTCACAGTTCCTAAAAGGTCTAGTACACCACAGAAAAGAACTCCAAAAACAACATCTAAAAGCTCAAAGGCTGATGATGATAGTGATAAAAGTCCAAAGGTGTCTTCAAGGAAGAAAACTGAGAAGGTCACTAAGGAAAAGTCCTCTACGCCAACAAAATCTGCCTCCAAGGAGAAAACCAGTAAGTACTAGCCTCCTTTCTGATTTCTTTTCATGTCTGTACTTTATGTTAAGAAGAATTTCTTTGTTGTTTATTTTTGTTAAGGAAACTGAAAAATGATTGTTGCTTGTGGCAAAATTTGGTAAGATAGGCTTTTGGATATGAGTGTTTATACTGCTATCTTTTCCTGGATTTATTAAGGCAAAAAGGTCGCAAAGGGGAAGGACAAAGCTAAAGAGGAGAAATTGAAGCCAAGTGATCATGAGTTGAGGGATGCAATTTGTGAGATTCTTAAGGAAGTGGACTTCAATACGGTAAAGATCTGCTGTGAATATCTGCCTACGGTTGTTGCATCCATTACTAGACTTTTCATAATAGCAGTTTCGGTCTGGTTCTGACTCCAAAGCCTATTTTGGTTGTGAAATGGAAAGTCAAATTATCAGGACTTTGTGGTTCAGTGCTAAATAGGCTACTATGAACAATTATTGCAATATCCACCACCTAATTCAAAAGTAGGATAACCTCTGAGGATCAGTACTAATTTGGTCTGATCTGATTATGTAACCATGAATCCAAACACTCTTAGTGGTTTCATTGAGTTCAATGCTGCTAGTGATGTTTTATATTGAATCATTTTACAAAAGAATTGGTTCTGGAAAAATTTGCAGAGAGGTTGGCACATACTGCCTATCTGCTTGAAACTGCCAGTGTGGAAATGGGCTTAAAGTCTTTTCCATTGCTTTGTAGATTTGGAAATGTTAATGGACAGACTTTGCTTTTGATACTCAATTTTCTGAAACACCAACCTTAATCCTTTTTGGTCAATTTGATTGCAGATAAGATATAAGGATCTCAAGTGTTTTTAAGTTTTATCTAATCTATGCATTTCTGTTGCGCTTTTTTTTTGCTTGGAGGAAAAATGTTTTCATTCCCTTGTAGATTCTGGTTCTAGTGTTCTAGCTAACATAAGTTGTTTTTTTTTTTTTTCTGCAGGCGACATTCACGGACATTCTGAAGCTACTAGGTATGCATCGTTCAGTTTCTCACTAACAAATGATCTTTTTCCACATATTTAGGTGCTTTTGGTTGGCTCAAAAAGTGCGGTGAAAAAGCACTTTTTGAGCGAAACCAACATGCATATTGGCCAAAATTCTTTTATGCATGTCCTGATGGAGAGTTTGCTACCTTTCAGCTCGACAATTTGATACAGACCTCACCCCAAGGAAGTCATCTATAAAGCTCATGATTCAGGAAGAGCTTACCAAACTAGCTGATGAAGCCGATGATGAAGATGGAGAAGGTGATGCTGAGAAAGATGAAAACCAATCTGCTGGTCAAGAGGTTGAAGCCTGACCTACAAGATGGAAAATAACTCTCATGGAAATAGTGTAGTTATTTATGTCTTGTGCCAATATGTACTTTTTAGCTGTTACTTAGAAGGCTAGCTTGTAATTTACTGTTAGTTGCTTTTTTAACTTTTTCGGCGAGCAAATTAGCATTTATCAAATACTAGAGGAGCTCGAGCTACCCATCTGTGCTGCAGGGTTGCAGCCTGCTATGTACACCATTAACATGATCTGTAGGAATTTTCCTATATGAAAACTGAGTACTTTGAATTATAGAACACAGTTCTTCTCTTTGTCCAGTGTAATGCCAACCCCTGGTTGCATACTTCATCACTGAGGTATTGCTTCCCTTTTCCTTTAATTTCATTGCTGGATGATTCTTTTCATGTTCATTTGATCCATTCCTTTAGGATCCCATTTGGATATAGAGCTGCACATTAAATATCATAACTGACAGCACCCTGTGCTATAATCTTTGCTTTTTGTGGAAATGCAATAATAACAGGAAAATTGGGAAAGGAAGCCCATTTGATTCGAAGAGTCTGTGATTGCTGAGTTGGTTTCCAGACCTGTACTAGACAGGCTTGAAATGTTTGATGTTTTGGGTCCATGGATTGCATCTCACTAAAAGCTATATTAGAATCCGAGACGGGTATTAAAAATTTTATCGAAATTTATCTTTCGAGTATAAGGTATTCAAATTCTATATTATCGGGTCGGATATCTATGACCATCCATATGAAATCATCTGTCTACATTCCTGCCATGGAATCTGCACCATCTTCATCTACTCTTTTTTTATATTTACTGGAAAATATCTCGTGTTTCTCTATCGAAGAATAGATAGTATGAATCAATTAATTGAATTCATTTTTCAAAAACATCGTAAAAAAAAATGAAAAATCTTTTGAAATATCGAAAAAGGTAATCTATTTGTTGTCATTTATACGAACAAAATATTATGAATTATTAAGAACTCAATGGGACCCTTTCTCGCGTATAAGAAGACGGGGCTCGTTGAGTGCAGGATATTGTTCTTGTTGAACTCTGAGGACACCATAGAAGAAAGGTTTAAACATCAATATTTGCTGATATACATCACATTTTTTAACCAAAACATAGAAGACAGGCAACAAAGCATTGATAACTATTGAAGTTCTTTAATGTTTTTTATTTTGGGAGAATGGCGATTTGAGTAAGAAGTTACATTTATGATTATGCAAAATTTTTAAGAGAACGGATATTTGAGTGAGAAGAGACATGTATCTATTTTCAAATCAAATATTTAAACATGAATTTTTTTGAAAAAGTACATATATCTATTATTGAGTCAAATGTTTAAATTTGAAGTTTTTAAAAGAACGAAAATTTGAATAAATAGATATATATATTTATCATTGAATTAGATATTTAAATACAAAACTTTTTTAAAAAATCAAGAGTTGAGTCAGAAAATATATGTATTTATCATTAAGTCTAATATTTAAACACGAGATTTTTTATCGTGGATATGGAAATATCTAACCATGAATGTAACTTGGATCATCATGTGGTTCATGCCTTCATTCTGATTAGAACAATTGTTGTGGATAAAAAGTATGAAAAGGACTCACGAGGTTTATAGAACATACGCAAGCCTTAAATCATGATTATAATGATTAATTATAGTGCTAAACAATGCCTAATTGGAGTTAAAAAGCAAAGTTCTCTCCACTAATTTTATTAGTGGAGCATGCACTCACACAAAACTCTCAAATTCAGAAGCAAAGTAGATGGGTGCATGCATGCTTTTAGCTAAATATACTAATAATATAATCTTTACAACTATATATTACTTTTTCCATATTCATTATATCCTTTACCCATTGAATTTGGGATCATTCGTAAGCTAAAATCGATGGGTTTTATAGAAAATAAAAATACATAGAATCATTAAATAACAAGAAAAAGAAAGGGTTAATAAATCAAAATTATGACATTATAAAAAACAAAAAGCAATAAAAAGAAAGTGTAAATTTTTTTAATAAATACTACGATTTCGATCTTTAAACTATTGTCTTTATTTGATTTTTATGGAAATTAAAATAAAAATTATAATTTTTTGATCTTAATAAATATATGAACGTATGTATTCGTTTGAGTAGATGTATGTGTATTCGTATGTTGTTGTATAGAAGAGTATTTCCAAATATTATCAAATGAAAGACCACAAATTCTGATGTGAAAATGGAGAAATCACTTGCTTTCTCCATCAAGAACTAATTAGCGCTATATATTCTGATGCCAAATACACCTAGCCCTTTCCTTTTTCTAGTCCAAGATTCATCATTTCAACAGATTAAAAGTGAAAAGGAATACCCCTCTCTCTCACTCCTTCCACAGTTTCATCACTATCTGATGCAAATATCTTGTAGTAGGTCAAGTCTTTCAGTCTCCAAAGTCAACAGCCTCACTTTCTCTCTATGGCCCTGTTGCTTCCATTGTAACAAGCTTCTAGACCTTCTCCTACTCTCCTTTTTCCAACTATAAAAACCCCATAAACCCTGCTTTCCATCTCTCTCTGTAACTCTCCCTAGCTTAAGAAACCTTGAACTAGTTTTTATCAGGAAGAAAACCCCAGATTTTGGTACCCTTTGGGACGTTTTTTCTCGCCATCAAGAGCCCTGCGAAGCAGTAAACAAGGCAACTTTAAGAACCCGAAGAAGTAAAGCCATGGCGGACTCAGATACGGAATCAGGAGGAGCTCAAAACAATGGCAACAACAACGCTTCAAACGCGACGGGGAACAGCAGCGACCTTTCCTCTCTGAAAGAACAAGACAGGTTCTTGCCGATAGCCAACGTGAGCAGGATCATGAAGAAGGCTCTGCCTGCAAACGCCAAGATATCGAAAGAGGCCAAAGAAACGGTGCAGGAATGCGTTTCGGAGTTCATCAGCTTCATCACGGGAGAAGCGTCCGACAAGTGTCAGAAGGAGAAGAGGAAGACCATCAACGGCGACGATCTCCTTTGGGCCATGACGACGTTGGGGTTCGAGGATTACGTGGAACCCCTCAAGGTTTACTTGCAGAGGTTTAGGGAGATGGAAGGAGAGAAAACCGCGGTGGCACGTGACAAAGACGCTCCTCTTGGTGGTGGCGTCGGTGGTGGTGGGATGTATGGCATGATGGTACATCAGCATCAAGGGCACGTGTATGGTTCTAGTGGGTTTCATCAGATGGGAAGTAGTGGGTTGGGTAAAGGTGGGCCTGGGAATAATTTGGTTGGGCCGAGGTAGTCATCATCGGTGACACGTGTATGGTTGTTATGGGTTCGATAAAAAATCTGGTTTGGTTAAGGTTGGGCCCAGGTAGTTGCGTCAGTCCGTACACGTGTAAACTTTTGGTGGCTTGGGCAACTTGGGCTGAAGGATAGGCCTCTTGGAGAGCATATCGGGCCTGGACCTGATTTGGATACGGGCCAGGAAGTTGTTATCCAGGACACGTGTACGGTAGTGTTGGTTAGGTAGAGGCAGAGTCGGCTTCAGGCCCTTCATTTCATTTCATTTCATCAATTTCACATAATGTGATTTTGTACTTCCCAATGAAATATATAGAATGAGTTCCTAAATTTTGATACTTTGGGTCAGTAGTGTACATTTCATTGCTGACCTAATGATACGAACAACATTCACTTACAGAGTTTCTCTTTTATTTGTTCGATATGAAATTTTGTAACAATGAAATGATTTTAAAACGATATAAAAGATATTGACAATTTAATGAATTTTTCTCTAAAATCATTTTGTTTATATTCAATATAAAATCCTGTAATAATAAGATAATGTTAAAAGTTATTAACAGTCTAGAGAATCTTTTTTGAAATCTTTCGTTTATTTATATATGATATAAGATTTTATAATATTAAGATGATGTTAAAACCTTATAAAAAAAATTGACAATCTAAAAAATCCTTTAGAGAATCCCTCTATTATCTATGCAATATGAGATTCCGTAATAATAAGATGATGTTAAAACCTTACAAAGTTGTTGGCAATCCAATGAATCCTAATCCAAGCAAAAGAAGAAGGCAACTGCAGCTTTGTTGGTTGGTGAACTGTTGCCCCCAGAAGGTAGTGCTTGAACATTCCCAAGTCAACTTCTACAGCAAACAACTGTTCCAACATTTCGACCACTAGAGTATAGATCATGGTCACGGACAAGTTTACTATAACTTTGGGACAATTGGATAAGATCAGATGAAGGGAACAAATGAAATCAAAAGTCAAAACATGAGAATTTGACCCTCAATTAAGTAGAAACATGGAATACTTGGCAATGCTATCACCCTTCTTTGCATTCTTCAAGCTGGCTGACTTTTCAGGTCGTTTCAAAGCATAGTTCAGCTTAGCATCAGCTGAACCAGGGAATCTGTGCATGCTCAAGGCCAGAACCTCCCAGCAAAACCTGAATTTGGTTTAAGATTGTAGGAGACATGCAATTAAAGGGCAACTTCTAACGGAGATAGATAATACATCCATCTTTACAAGAACAGAAAGTCACCATGGGTTGTCAAATACCAGCGCTAGTACTGTTTCTGACAGATTCGAAGAGCATCAAGACTCAAAAAAAAAGAAAAGCACATTTAAATGCTAGCATACAACAAGAAACCCATCTTGAAAATCTGAGAGACATCAGATCCATTCATGGTAAGACTAGAGTATAACTCTTTGCCTGATTCGAGGACTGATTCTTATAGGGAGGATGCAACTCATTCAATCAGAACAGCTACATGAGACAGGCAAGAATTCTAAAGAATAAGAAGCTCGAATAGAAATCTTTCTATATATACAAAGTAATTTTGTACAATTCTCAAGGCTTTAACAATGGCATTACTCAAATGGTTAGTATTCTACATCTCCCTTCACAAAAAATCACATGGTTAACATAGCGGTATGCTGAAACTAACCAAAAGAAAAAACAAAAAAGAGGGGTAAAAATGATACAACAACTAGCCAACAGAAAATGCAGATCAGCAACATCCTCTGCTAAATCCTATTACATCACATTCAAACTTTTAAGTTCTGAAATATTCTACCACATCTCAGACTTCAGCAGTTTCAAGTCATAATATTATCCATAACATTGGTTTCATCAAGTGCTAATAAACCAAAACATAAGTGCAAAAGTTTAAAACTTAAAAGCATGAGTTCCACTTCAACATGAATGCTGGCAAAAGGAAATGCCGTCTACTGTCTCTTTCAAATTTTCGAGGCTGAGATCATCTCCATCTCCACGATAACTCTGTTGAACAGCTTCAAATCTCAAGATCAAATACCTTCAAGCTATAAATCAAAGAAATGAGTAATATTTGCAATTAGGAACCATGTTCTTGAAGAATATAACAGATTATAATCACAGTAATTTCCTTTGAAGAGCACAGTAAACTTGATAAATGCACAATAAATTAAGGGCTAGTATTTGAATGCTTTGCTTAACTCTATTAACAAAGAAGCAAGCATACTGCAAAAACTACACGTATAATAAGCAAATCATAAAGTAATTCTCAGGAAGATAAGTTTTGCATCTTACAGCCAGAAAATTCATTCTTGGCAATTAATAATAAATAAAAAGAAGAGGGGTAGAAACCAATAATTCCCTAATTATGTATCAAAAAGACTCAACACCTACTAAGTATTTTATGATATGGTACAAACATACGTAAAACGAGGAAATTATTACATTAAAACTCAGCATATGTCACAACTAGAATGTATTACATTCATAAACTGATGAAAATAGCAGAATAGCGAGCAAAGACCATCATTACATGAATACTAGCTAGCCTACTGCAACATTTTGAGATCTTCAAAAACTTAGATATACAAATTAAATACATATGAGCAATGTTCTACCATATGCACAAACAAGTATTACATAATCGCACATGTTCAGGAAAAAAATCAACATCATTTTTATGGATAACGAGATACTCAGATAATATAATTAGAAAACCATAATTCAGGAACTTACTCATTTTATGCAAAATCGAGATACTCGAAGGGAAGAGAAGCAATCAACAAATTCAGGTAATGAACAGAGAATGGCTAATGAATTGACGACCACAACACCACCACTTGAGAGAGACGTCAAAAGAGGATGATGAACCCAAAGTTTCTGTAGTGACTGATCTTTTCAAAAAATTTCTAACAGAAAGTTTTTGCTATTAGAAGAGTCAGATAAGTCACTCTGAGGCAAGTCGTCGCCTCTTCCCATAATCAGCATCTCTAGATCTTGAGCGACGCTCCTCCTCCTGAGATAATCGTAACTTGTTGTGAGTCCTTGATGACCGTCCATGGTCATCATGCTCTGGGTCACGGTCCCTGTACCTATGATGATCTGCATATCTGTCTCTGTCTTCCCTATATCGATCCTTATCCCTGTCCCGATCACGTTCCCTATCACGATCACGAACATGATCTCGAGAGCGCTCCCTATCCCTGTCACGGTCCCTATCACGTTCTCGAACAATGTCTCTATCATCCCGGTGCCTTCTTTCTGGCCAATCATGTTCATGACCTATATCCTTCTCCCGAGGCATGTCTTTATCATACCCCGGTTCTCTATCATCACGATACCTTCTTTCGGATGAACCTGACCAGTCCCTTTCTGAAGCTTTATCTTTTTCTTTCGTTGGGTTTTGCCAACCTCCTCTATCATGACTAACCTCTCCGTATTGATGGTCAGATGCAGCTTCCTCTCCATAACTAGACTCTCCAGCTCTCCCACCACCATGCTCATCACCACCCCATCCTCCCATGTTGGGATCAGACCACATTCCCATATAAGGCCCATCTACACCACTTGTGGGCATCATCCCATACCATTCATGGGCATACCTCTTCCAAAAAATGCAGGGTTAACATGAGGAGCCACTCAGGCAAGCCAACTCCTCCAACAGGAGGGAACGAAGATAAAATCCCGGAAAATGGGGGTGCGGGAGCACCAGGAAACCCTCCATAACCGCCCATTCTTCCCATGGGTCCACCAAAAGCTGGATCAAAACCTTGACCCATCATAGACTGTGGGTGCATGAGAGGAGGTGTCGCACCAATACCTTGTCCAAATCCATTTCCACCATTTCCCATGATACCCCTACCTCCCATCCCACCAGCCCTATTCCTCATAGGACCAACTGGCCCTCTATTTCCCATCCCCTGAGCATTGCCTCTTCCCCAATTCCCTCTCCCATAACCTCTATTATTATCCCCTCCTTGATAATTCCCTCCAGTTTGAATGTTACTGGCACCAGTCTTAACCCCAGCATCATTAGGGCCCCTCCTACCTTGCGAAAAAGAAGCCTGTTGTTGATTCCTATTTAACTGAGCCTCCCCCATCTTCTTAACAGTAAATGGCGATGCAAAGGCAACAACACAAGGCCTTCCATTAAACATATGCCCATTCATTCCCTCCTTACAAGCTGCAGATGCCGCTGGATCATAAAACTCAACCTGACAATATCCCTTTGACTTCCCACTTGCTTTTTCATCAAAAAACTTCACCTCCTTCACGGGCCCATACTTGCACAACTCTGACTCCAGTTCAGCATCTGTTGTCCACCAATGCAAATCTCCAACAAACAATATTGTCCCACCACCACTTCCACCCCACCTGCACCAACACCAGGACCTACAACACCACCAACACCCACATTTCCGCCCCCATTCCCAACCATAGGACCAGCGCCACTGCCACCACCATTCACACTTCCACCTCCTACTCCTCCTTGCCTCATCAAACCCTCACTCCCAACACTCCCGACATTCCCTACATGATGTACCTGCTTTCCTATACCACCTACACCACCTAAACTACTAATATTATTCCCACTCTGCTCCTCAGGCTTATCATTCAACTTACTCGATGCCTGCGCAAATTCAACTCTAAGCCCACCTCCACCACCACTAACACTCCCACTAGGTCCCTTCACATCACCACCACCTCTAAACCCTTGACTCTCATAAGAAACCCTAGAATCCCCTCCTTCACCACCACCCGCAACACCTGGAATCGAGACACCAGATTCTGTTACACCCATTGGTGAACCACCAACTTTCCCACCACCGTTGTTATTATTATTAATATCATCATTCCTATTTGCACTACTATTGGTTTCCACATTGCTAAACCCTGAATCTTGGTTCTTCCTTAGAGATTGAAGAAACCCTTCACCAACATTAACATCATTGTAAAGATCTTCATAATCATCATCTTCTTCACCTAAAAAACCCTCGTCAGCAACGGCTGAGATCGCCTCGTTTCTATGGAACTGATCCATCTGATCCCCTCCCTCTCCTTCATCCATGTTTTCCACTCAAAATTCCCTAAAAACAAAAAATACATACATTTTTTCTCCTAAACTAAATTCAAAGCTTTGACCTTTTTCATACTTCTGTAAATTTAAAATAAAAAAAGAAAAAAAAAGCGCGAATTTAACGAAATTAACTAGAAATTAATTGAAACTACACCGGGAATTCGGGGATTTAGGGATCTTACCAGGTGGATTGAAGAGACAGACCAAAGACTGTAAAGAAACGAGAGAGAAGGAAGCGAAACCCTAGCCCCGAAAGC